GTAACAAAGTTCATACATTTCTTTTACAGATTGCTCCCAGATTTGCTCACATGATAATGATAAATTTGCTATTGGTATTAGTGGGTGAAGATGTAAATGACGGTTCATTAAATTCCATACAGATTTTCATAATTCCTTTGGACAAAAAATTGTACTATTTAGAATTGGATAATGTGGCATTAAGTTTTTATCAATAAAAGAAAACTGGGTCTGAAATGTTAAATGCTTATAAGTATGATGTGAAATTTTATTTAATGACAATCGTATATTAATTGCTCTTCGGACATGCCATCGGCACAATTGAATTTTTGACAGTGGCTATACAATCTTTGCAGCCAAAATTTGCGAAAAATCTTTATCACTTAAAATGAATTCTGGAATTAAACCTTGTAATTTTATTTTTTGAAAAAATTCTATAATGATATCAGTATGTTTAATATTAATTGTACTAGAATTATTATTTGTTTCAATAAAAAGATAAGTGAGCAGGTATCCAACACTATCAACCTCTGCCATTATTATATAAAGCTCAAATCCTTGATCATTGGTATTGTCTATAAATTTATATTATTTAAAATAAATATAAATATATAATTAATGATTATTTTTTTTAATGCAAGCAGTAAACAATAATAAATTTTAACTGAACTATTAATACTGTATGTAATAATAATTATAATTTAAATTATTACTTACATGTAGCATCAATCCCGCATTCTTGAATATTTATATTATGCATTTTAAAAAGTTGATAAAATCTAGTTAAAAATGAAAAAACCCGAATTGACTCTTTGATTTCTAAAAGTATCTCATAATTTTCTTCATTTAACCATAATAGTGCTGAATTAAATGAATTTTTATGCCATTGATATCTTGTACTACCAAGTTTTGCCCACCAGTAATGGATTTGTTTTTGACATATAGCCAAATCCAAATTATCAGCAATAAGTTTTGCATAAATTTCACGTGATAATAACTCGATATGTTCTTGTATAAAATTTTTAATATCTTGCAATACTAAAATTTTTGGTGGAGTAGCATGTAAATAACAATGAAACATATAAACTGTTGCGATCATTGTAGTAGAAATGAGAGTAATTTTAATATATCCATCACAATCGAACTGTTCCATTGATTGTATATCTCAACGTTTTGAAAAATCTGGATGTTTTTTTGGCTTCTTTGCTATACAATTTCGCTGAGAACAATAGTACCAATATGTTGATTTAAATTTTCCAACATATTTAGATTTATAACTAATAAAAGATTTTAGTATATTAGTATTATTTTTTTTTTTAAAAAAAATATAGTATTTAAACTTACACCTATAAATATTCATCTTCATCTTTAATAGAATCAATAATAAGTTTTACTAAATCTTTTTGTAAGTTTTCTTGTAGAGATATCATATTAATATTACAAGAAAACTTAAATTCTATATTTTCTTTTTTATTGTTATTTATTATATCTTTATGAAGTGTTAATAAATGACTATAATAATCTGATAAGTCATCCAATTCAACCATTTCTGGTTCGTCAAATTCATCTTCAACTAATCCTTGTTTATTGAACTCATTTTTAGAAAATTCCAGTTTGTTGGATTCATTTTCAACTAATTTTAGCTTATTGAATTCATTTTCTAATTTTCTTTTATGTAATTTAGTTTGCTGTTTGCTTACTTTGTGTGTATTACGACAATTATTACAAGTC